TATAATAGATTTAAGAGTGGGATAGCCATGCTTCGGCACAAATGGGCCGCCTCGACCGGAGTGATACCACGGCCTCGACAAAGGACGACGTGAAACAACGCTAGCGTTGTGTTTCGTCGTGTGAGTGAGGTTACCGGAGGCTCTATTACCCTCTTCCGCAATTTCGCCAACCCCCGAATCCTCAACAAAATTCCTTATCCCCAAAACAAAAGGCCGGCAACGCACTTATAACGTCTGAGGTATTTCGGGTGTCCATAAGCGGCGCCGATTTCTTACCATCAGGTGATCCGTCTGCTCGTTTAACAGACTTATTCCATAAAAAAGAGGACTATCATGGACTGATCGATTTTTTGAGTACGTCTGGGATTTATTGACGTGATTCTTTGGTTTAAGGCAATCAAAAGTGTTATTGTATTACATAAATAGCATTTAGAATTACTCATTTACCAATATTTTTCTTTAGTACCTATTCATAGCTGTTATATTTTTATGTATTCGTAATATTATTAGGTAGCTATTAAGTTTTTCAAAGGTGATTTATAGCAATTTATTATAAAGATATAAAAAAAGAAATATGAATAACAGAATTTTTATTCGGTTACTCACGAATTTTTTTGAATGGCAACGTTTATAATATGAATATTTAAAAAGTTTTTATGGGGGCTTTTAGCAAACATTAAGTGGACTTCTTTGAAGATGATGACAAAATACTTAATAAGAAAAATAAAATGTATAAGCATTCCTGCTCATTGGCCGAGTGGTCGCAAGTGCGACTGCTGGGCAAGGTGTCTCGGTTTCGATTCCCGGGTAGGGCAAAGTATTACTGGGTTTTTAAAAAATACCTCAGTGGTAGCACGGAGTCTGGAATTGTGCCTCACCGCCAGGCTCACCCCTTTATTACATGGGACTCATAACATAAACAGTGAAAAGTGGGTGTTACATCGTACAATGGCAATAAGTGCCGTAATGTGCCCCTCTGCCTACTCCTTCAGGGATAAAACGCTTGAAGTTATGTAATGTTATGTTATAAAATACTTATACACAGATCGCAACCAATCCTATACTCTATAACTCAGCGGTCAGTATGACTAACTAATCGTTAGATTCTCTGGTCTCTGGTCTTCTGACCACTCGGCCAACGAGGCAGTATTTTATAGGGATTTTTTTACTGCACCTCTATTTAAAAATTTAAGCAAACCAAATTTCTTTACAAATAACCTACTGCATATCAAAAAAATGAACCGTAAAACATAAATACTGATTTGCACACAAATTGTTGAATATAAGGTTAGGTTAGGTTTTGTTTTTTTTTTTCACGACCGTATCACGAACTCGAAGAATTATTAGATTTACTTTTAGTTAAAAGATAGTCATTCAGTAAAACAGTTAAGCTTTAAAGATCTAACAGTATAGTATAAAAGTAGAGTAACGAAAGAAGTATACAGGTAGAGGGCGCCCTAGACGGACATATAGTGACCAGATTGGCGATATATTAAAGAAGGGCCAAATTAAAAGTACCCTTAACCGACGAGCATGCATGAAAAGATTGATGACTGTTAATGAAGCGAAAGAGGTATGTAAGAATCGTAGTAATTGGCGTTCCTTAGTCTCTGCCTACCCCCATGGGAGACAGGCGTGAAGTTATGTATGTATGTATGTATAGTATAATTGATTTATTTGATGAGCAAATTTATTGTGCAATTCAGTATTTTTGATGGTAATTTCTAACATTTTGATTGAAAAAAGGGAACAGTTAAAGTATTAATACCACCCGTATTTTATATATTTTTATTAAGTACTGTTTTGTTAGCAATACAACCTTTTTACCCATTATTATCAGACAATGAAAACTCACACTTTTGATAGCTACAAAAGAATCTGAAATTGCAATTGGTTGGTATAAAGAGCTTCTCTTATTCATTGTAAATAAACTTCCTATTCTTAAATATAATGTAGGTTATGAATCATAAGTTAACCGTGTTTTATATAGATATTTATATATATTTTATGGTATAAACCGGTAAACGAGCACACGGATCACCTGATGGTAAGCAATCGGCGTTACCCATGGACACCTGGAACACCAGAGGCGTTACAAGTACGTTACCAGACTTTTGGGGATTAGGAATTTGAGGATGGTTGGCGATTCGGGGATCGGGGAGATTGGGGAAGGGGGGGGGGACAATTGGGCCTCCGGTAACCTCACTCACACGAAGAATTTGTTTTTTTTTGTCTGTCTCCGGATACTGGTTCGATTTGAAGCCTTATAGCGCATAAACCTTCCCCAATATACATATTGGATAAGCTGTATAACATAGGCTATATAACTTCACGCTATGACCAATGATGAAGTCGTGTCCTAGTCGATTTATTTGTAAAACGGCAAGTTTTGGTTGTAATTTTAACTGCCGAGCAACGGATTACATATTGAATTCCCGATTCGGATACAGCATTTTCAACTATTATCACGACTTTATACATCTTCGACAATATCTACTGAGACATATTACTGAGTAGCACTACCACATATATTTCTAATCCCAAAAGGCTGGTAATGCACTTGCAACGCCTCTGGTGTACCAGGTGTCCATGGGCGACGCCGATTGCTTACCATTAAGTCATCCGTCTGCTCGTTTACCTACGTATACCATATAAAAAAAGTTTGGTATTGTATCCAAAGTTTCCTTTGATTCACCATTTAAGCCCATTTGCATTATGAATAACAGCAGCATAGCTAGCGACAAAATGTATTCACTGTAATCTATCTCAGCGTACTCCATCGCGAAATTAGTGTGATGATATTTAATAGGACTTTGCTCGTAAGAATTCTCGTTAAAGAGAGATTTTCGTTGAAAATCCTTTCTTAGTATATTCTTTTGTGAACGTCACGTGGTAAACTACATCAAGCTTTAAGATTATGTGGTTTAGGGACTGTATTACCTAAGAGAATTATTAAGTAGGAAAATTACATAACATAACAACACGCCTTTTTATCCCCGAAGGGATAGGCAGAGGTGCACATTTCGGTACTTAAATGCCACTGTACAATGTAACACTCACTTTTCACTATTTATGTTATGAGTCCCATGTAATAGGGGGTGAGCCTATTGCCATATACCTGGCACATTTCCAGACTCCGTGCTACTACTGAGATTTTTAATAACCCAGTAATACTTTGCCCGACCCGGGAATCAAACCCGAGACCTCTTGCCCGGCAGTCGCACTTGCGACCACTCGGCCAACGAGCAGTAGGAAAATTAATGATTTAAAATAAAGATTTTTAGAGAAGTTCAACAACACAGACAAGGAAATTTCTCAGGAGTAGAGTAGAATATATATGGAGTCTAGTATTATGCCTAGTGAATAGATCACACATCAACAGTCTATAAGTGCTAACTGCTGACCAAATAGGCCACTTCTCACACGGAGAAGGTTTGAGCATACATCACATCGCTTGCTCAATGCGGGTTACTAATTTCAAACTTATAATTAGAAATAATGTTAACCTAATGGGTAATTTTTATGGGATAAGGCGGTAAACTATCTGGCCATGGATCACCTGATGGTAAGCTATCGGCGCCGCCCATGGATAACCGAACACCACACACAAGTGCGTGACCAGCCTTTTGGGGATTAGAAATTTGAGGATTATGAGGGATTCGGGGATTGGGGAGGTCTGGTCATACCCTATTTTCGATATTACATCATATGTGCATTTTCGCCTTACCAAAAAAAGGTATGTCGTGTCGTTATGTCATTTTACGTTGTTAAGTACCAAAATATAGTAACCAGGTCAGTACATGTTTTTTTTCCTTATGTTTTTAAAAGCAAAGAGTACATGATATACCTAGGTACATTACAGCTATAGAATAAACAGATTGTGCTATCTAAATAAATCCTAAAGGGAACCGTTTAGTCTACGAATTCTACGACGATCTAATCGTATTTTGAATACAGAAAAAAGATAAAAGTAACAGTGGTGTTTTACATGAAAAGAATACTCCAAGAAAAGTTTTTTAGAAAGATAATATTACCTATACAGGCCGCGGAGAAAAAGGTACGGTCGAATTCTGAAGAAAGATTTTAAATATTTAACGTATTTTCTCAGAATGTTGGTGATATTTTTGTCATCCAGTTTTTCTGAGTTTTTTTATCTTTTGTAGATTTTTTATTTAGGTACACTAATTTGTACCTAAAAGCGACACTACAATGGATACGTTTTCCGGGCTTGCTCGCATTTTTCATTTAAAAATGTTTCTTTTTTGTGCCAGAAAAAGAACTGTGTACAAAATTCTAGAATTTTCCTGTGATTTACTTCGGATCTAGTGTTTAAATGCAGTTTGCATGGACAACACGCCTACTTTATTTTTTTAAACTTAATGTATCGCGTAAATAGTGCTTATTTATTTTTAAAACGGTATTTAGTTGACATTTTTAATAGTTAATAAGATTTTTTTGATTTCTTTGCATTCTTTATATAAAAAAGAAAAAAAACATTTCCTGTTTTTTTAATCTTTTCATCCTTTGATATGGATTTCTGGGTCTTTATTTCCTAGTTACGAGTTAAGTAGACAATTTTGCAATTTTTTAAAGGACGTGACAAACTGAGATATTATGCTCAGTGTTGAACGACGAATAATGTGGCAGCTGTTTTTATATCTTTTAAGTAATAATGTGTTTCGATGCAAAAAGCAGAAATGGTGCAAACAGTTTGGTACCCAAGGCAGAGGTCGAAATACAAGAGGATGATATAAAACTCGATCACTGTAGGAACTCACTAGATTAGAGGAGCATCAGATAGGAAACAGTGGAAAGAGCAGGAGGAGGCCTTTGCCGTAAGGCACATTAAAATCAGGGACATACTGTAACTGCATGCATGTAAACAGTACTTATAAGTTTTATTTTGTAATTAGTTTTCAGTTTTCGGAAATAAAAGGCTATATTATTATTAAGTAATAATGTAAGTTTATGATGCGGATAAATAAATAAGCAAAACTTACCGACAACAGTAAGATTGATGCCGACATTTCTGGTGGGTGATAGTCGGAAGTCGACCCTGCAGTGGTACATGGCCTGGTCGTCTTCTGACAGCGAGGCTATCGTGACAGAAGTCGGCTGGCTGATGATGTCTGCCCGAAGTCTGGCGGTCGTGTTGAAAGATGGCTCCGACCATTGCTTGTCCGGGACTTCGAAGCTGGAAAGATATTTAATTTAGAATAGGTGTTTTTTGTAAATGGTAGTTTAAAGTTGTGTGGCGTATGGTTCATTTTTCAATGCTAAGTGTAATCTAATTCATTATTTTTCGTTTTTTTCAACGGATGTTATGTACCAGTATATATTCTCATTAGCAAATACCACGAATAGATACAAAATTATGGATTTAAACATAAAATTTTGCACAAATTAGAAGACCAAATTTACGACTCCTTATTCGACATGGTGGCGATAGTCGAACTCAGCTAATGACTCAGTCAAATGTGTATGTGTGTGTAAGTGATACAGATTTGTGTATAAAACTAAACTTTACACTATTATCTAATTCATAAGATCGATTTTCAAATGTTTCTATAAATATCAATACAAACACAGGTGTCATATCGCAAATATAAGCACTCAAGCACTTCTTTTTGTCATAATTCTTCAGTATGTTTACTTTGATCTTGTAGAAAACATACTTATTTATATTTTTTAGTTCCTAGTGTGTAGGTAGAGGCAGCTAGCCTATTCTATACAGAGCCGCGGAGGACTTAACGGGTTGTCGGAGCTCCGGCTCGAAGTGCAGGAGTAGGAACTGGGTGGGTTTTAGTCAGTAAGCAAAAAAGCTAGGCTGTTCTGTGGCTGTGTCGCGTCGCCGTTCTGTCCCGCCGCGCCGCGCCCGCTGTGTGCAGAGACCTTTATTTCTGTCCTCTTGTAAGAGAATCTATTATTAGATATTAGACATTATTCTAGACCTCGGAAGACAAATCTACAAACTAAGAAGTTATTGAGAACAGCTGTGAAAGGACTTTTTGATACTTCCTATTTCAATATTCTGCGAAAAGGCATTTTCTACTTTACGGCAAAATGAATACAGTGTTTTATCATATGAAACTTCGCTTTTGAAACTTCAACAATGCTAGTTTTTAAACAACTTAAGTCATACAATCGGTCTTTCGTTACTCGTTTTCATTTTTTCACAAGGCATTCGCGCTATTCCGGGCTTAGTAGCTTTCCTATTTTTATTTCGTTCCGATTTTCAGTTTATTTGCGATTCTGCTTAGTTTCTGTGTTGGATAAATACTCTTTGCTGTGATTGTTTGTGGGATTTGAGCCGTGGGTGGAAAGTTCGTTGATCTGTTGGCTTATTGTTAATTTATTTTGCCAAGTGGCGGCGCTAGTGTGCCGAATAAGGCGATGGGCCACTCCTCGCTGTTTAATAGTGGTCGTAAACCGAGCTGGGTGAAAGAGGTTTTGTAATTTGAATAAAGAGGTAGAGGTAGCCGGCGTGTTTATGTCGTTGGGTAATCAATCTACGTATTTTGCAATTCTTATTCGGGTTTCTTTTTTAGTTAATTTGATCCTAACGTAAACTAACAGAAAATTTGTGTTTTGTGGGTATTTAACTGTAAGTAAATTATTTTTGACTGCATTGTTGAGTAAGAGATTCGGTTCCTCAATCTGGGAAATATTTTTTGTTTATTTATAACCGACTTCATTCAATTTTGGCATTATGTCTCTAATGCTTTGTTATATTCAACTTGTACAGTATGTACACTTTCTTTTTAAGGGGGAAAATCATCGAATGACTGCTCCCGCCTGGGTGAGGCGGGAGGGAGAGTCAGACTTTTACTGACTAAAAACCACCCCGTTCCTTCTCCTGCACTTCGAGCCGGAGCCCCGGTAACCCGTTAGATTCTTCGCGACTTAGTATGTACACTTGTATTTGCTTCTTCTGTTTCGGAGTCAAAATTGTACCTAAGCTTATATAGAGGCTATCGAATAAACTAGTATATGTACGTGGGCAACTGCAAACTTGCTATTAAATAACATAACGTTCTACATCCAACACATAAAGGTAGACTTAATGTTACATAGTATATGTAAATGCTGGCCTTTAGGAGATGATTGATGACGAAGCGCTATGCATGCTTAAACCTAAGTAAGTGGTCTGAACTCCGGGACTAGGCTAGTAATTGTGCCTAATGCGTACTAATCAACTAATTATGTCCACATTAGACTACGAACTATTGTGTAGACTGTTCAATTAGTGGAGTGGTGAGTTGAATTCCCAGGTTGGGCAAAGGGGTACCTATAGTGATTGTTAATTAATTCGCATGGTACTACAGCATGGTTTGATTTCGTTACGGTTTACAGACTCTGGCGTGGAAAACTGCTTACCTTTGTGATTCATAATGTCTACAAATCACCTATGATGACTAACTATATAACATAACATCACGCCTTTTATCCCCGAAGGGGTGCCTACCCCTGGTGAGGTGTACATAATGCCACTATGCAATGTAACACCCACTTTTCACTATTTATGTTATGAGTCCCATGTAATAGGGCACAATTCCAGACTCCGTGCTACTACGGTGATTTTTTTGAAAAACCCAGTAGTATTTTGCCCAGCAAAGTCAAAGTCAAAGTCAAAGTAAAAGTCAAAATCATTTATTTCAATTAGACCAGGATGGCACCTTTGAACGTCAAACAACAAAAAATTATAAGTGAACCTAGTTGCTCATTCCAAGGCGTAGATTCCTATGGAGAAGAACGAGCAAGAAACTCCATCAGTCACAACGGCTCGACCACTGATGACTAACTATATCGTTTCAATAACCCTGTAAAAATTCTACTTCTAGTACGCAAATCGATTCGATACAGAAAGATCGAATTGTTGAAACTGCACTGTAACTAACATAGTTTATAACTAGAACTGGGAAAAGTGCTAATTATAATTGACTGCACCGTTGTTGGTGCGTGGTTGGTCAAGCGGCTGCCGCTCAACGTATACCGGGTTCGATTCCCGCAAGGAGCAATTCTTTGTGTGATCCGCAAATTGTTGTTTCGGGTCTGGGTGTCATGTGTATGTGAAATTGTATGTTTGTAAACGCGCCCATGACACAGGAGAAAATCCTAGTGTTAAAAAAATAGTTTTACCTGTATATGGGCATATTATTCTTGTACCACACCAGGATCATGAACTCGTCGTCGGAGGAGTCTGGCGTGGAGTCGCAGAGCAGGGTGACATCACCTCCCTCCAGAGCCTCTACGTTGGATACGGGACCTGAGGGAAAGCACAGAATTATATATACTATGTCGAGGTATATGCCTCGCTGGCCGAATGGTCGCAAGTGCGACTGCCGGGCAGGGGTCTCGGGTTCGATTCCCGGATCGGGCAAAGTATTACTGGGTTTTAAAAAAAATCTCAGTAGTAGCCCGGAGTCTGGAATTGTGTCCGGTATATGGCAATAGGCTTATTACATGGGACTCATAACATAAATAGTGAAAAGTGGGTGTTACATTGTACAGTGATATAATGTGCACCTCTGCCTAACCCTTCGGGGATAAAAGGCGTGATGTTATGATGATGATGTAGAGGTATAACAGGTATAATATGTACTTGTGTAGGATATATTTAATAACAATTTGATCTATTTGGGAATAGTGTACTGAATACTACTCCATCTATGGAGGTCATAGGCTGGTTTACGGAGATGAGGGAATCGAACCTGAGAGCCTTTGCTCGATAGTCATACTTGCGACCTCTCGACCAATGGGTTAGTGAATAAAATACTAGTTGGACTTAAATGGCCTTCTTTCGAACCACTATATAGATAAAGGGAATTTATTCTGCTTATCTGTTATCATAAGGGACTGAAATATAGCCAGCATAGTATATTAGTTTTAGATGATAAAGCTTAAATATACCTTAGAGTTTACTTCTTACAGGAACATTGTTTTTGCCAAAAATAGTGAAGATTTTGACCTCATAAGACTCTTTTGTACTACCTCTATTTGGAATAGAGGTATTAAATAGACAAGCAATGACCTCTCAAAGGTGACTTATTAAACAACCAATAAATAACCCAATCAAAAGATTCCACGTATTTGTACTAAGGTATTAAGAATTTAAACTAGACAGTAACGTTCTAAGCCTATAAATCTAAGCAAGTAAGACATAACAGACCTGAATTGTGTTGACAAGAACAAGATATATTGTCCAATAAATCTGCTACAGTACCTACGCACTGCTCAAACTGTTAGATTTATTTTCAAGCAAACGAAATTTTCTGTTGTTCGTTTATCAGAATTTTCGCGCGGTTCTAAGCTGTCAACCGATAAGGGTGCCCAAATGGGACTCGAAACTTGGAAATTAAGGGACGGCTGCAAAAGTTGGCACTCGATCTTCTTGCAAACATTTATCTTTTTCACCTTCGCTTTTAGCGGGAGAAACAATATTTCGTGTCAGAATCAAAGTTCATTATGTTGAGATAGGTAAATTATGGATTTAGTTTGTTACCGTCATTTAAGAAAAATTTTACGTTTATTTTTTATTTAAAATTTGGTTATATTCTACACCTCTATCTACGTTTTATAGACTTTATGTAAGGCCTACGTTTCGCTTTCTTAAACTGTCAAACACAGCGAGGACACCGGTGACCGCAACCTATTGTCCTTTAATTGTGTTTATAATGACGGTACTCAAAGGGTTTTTTTTTTTTAAGGGGGGAAAATCATCGAATGACTGCTCCCGCCTGGGTGAGGCGGAAGGGAGTGTCAGACTCTTACTGACTAAAAACCACCCCGTTCCTTCTCCTGCACGTCGAGCCGGAGCCCCGGTTACCCGTTAGGTTCTCCGCGACACTCAAAGGGTTAAGCCCCCCTCTTATGGAAACTTAATGCCTTTTTACAATCAGTAATTTTGATTTTACGTGGTCACGTAATTACTTAAGGAGAAGCACACCTACCAAGCTCACGGGTCCGGCACGGCTTCAATGCAGAAAATTCCTTGCCATTTAAATATGAACTTTAAATCGTAGAAATGTCATATTTCATAACGTCAAAATAAAAAAGCTGTAAGCGTAACCTTTTTATATCGTTTCCAAAGCAAAAAACGCCGTGCCGGGGCGATGCCGGAGCCGTGCTTATTAGGTGCGATGATCTTAAGTTCTACTATTACTAGTATAATAATACAATATTTGATAAATTACTAATCTTACCATCCACGCCAGGTATAAAAGCATAGCCACCGGTACAGATGAGAAGGAATATGTATATCGGCGCCGGAGTGAGGCGCATTCTACGGCCCATCCATGCTCCCGCGCTGCTCGCTCATTGGTCGAGGGAAGCGCTGTCCATGCGCAGTCGTCACGACTTATGTGACGTCATCTTTGGGAACATCTACTCATTTGCTGAGAATATCTGTAACAAAGCAGAAAATTTTGTTAATATATCGATCTTTAATGCCAAAACTCAGTTGTTTTTAGCGACGCAAGTCATAGATAAGTAGTTAAAAAAAAAAATATTAATAAAAAAAATTGCATCATTAATCAAATGCAATTGCTAAATCTTTTCTCATTATAGTATTTAGAAATTATTAAATCTTCAGGTAAAGGTTAACATTTAAAATTTAACTGTCCCCGACATAATTATAACATTTGTGCAATTAATAAACAGACCGAATAGTGACTATATGGAGGCTAGAAAATGAAAAAAAAAACCTTCCCGCCATTTTAACCACAGACACACAAGTTATACACGTGTGGCAAACACGTATAAATTCAACATTAATAACTAAACTAATAAAAATGGCGGCCAGGTTGGGCTGGCTTCACGTGACAAACTCAGTTGTCCGTCGAATTTTAGTTCATATCAAATGCAAAAGTTTGTTTTCCAACAAGCGAGGTTTTCGTAAAATGTGACATTTGTATGACAGAATCATAAAAGCATAGTTTGTGTGAATAAGTTTGTAATGCCGTGGTACTGTGGTTGTGAGTTGTTTCCCCTTATTTTTGATAAAAACTTTGTTTGGTTAACTTTGGTAATGATGGGCCAATGTTGCTAGATGTATTCTGGCCGTAATTGGCTCTGAGTTGGGAAAAACTCGGTCGGAAAGGTTTAACTGTTTCGTTGTACAAATTGCATTAAAGGTGTGGTTAAAGAGGAGTTTAGATGTTTGGATTGTATTATTATCAAGGGTTCTTCTTCTTCTTCTTAGTCTCCTCTTAGTGCCTTCCTCTGGTTTTGTTTACTAGATGTCGCCACTTGTCTCGTTGCTTAATGCATTGCAACATTCATGGGTATCTCTTGCTACTTGGATATTTGATCAGACCACCGTATGGGAGTACAGCTTCTCGGTTTCTTTCCTTCTACTTTACCGGTCACTATGAGGCGTTCCAAATTACTAGGATCTCTGCAAGGAATATAGCCAAAGTATCGCACGATCCTTTGCAAGCAGTCTGTGGAAAAACGCTGAAATTTGTTGATTTTTAGCTCGTTCAGAATAGAAACGCATAGGGTTAAAATGTGTCTATTGTTGTATTGTACGCCACACTTTTAATTCCCAAAAGATACCATGTTTTAGGAGTTGTTGCTATACATGTGAAAACTGAAGTGAACCACTTCTCGTCTGTTATAGGTAGGCAAAGGCAACTTCCTCTGCAATCTTTTTCTTGTTAGTCATAGGTACTGACATCTATTCAAACCGCGAAGCAGTATTTTTCGACCAAAGATTCATATAGTTTATTCATTCAGCACCTTTTCTGGCGGTAAATACACACTCAATTACAATTGACATGATTATAAAGCGTAATGCCCAGAATTAATGATAAATTGAGCAAATTTATTGCGGACGCATTCGTGAATTCGAATTAACCGAAATAGTCTAGGTTCGGCTACGCTTGTTGCGGTCATTGCATGGATGGGTGACCACAGCAACCACATTGCGTGTATCGTAGAGTTTCATCAGCTATATTAAAACGATTTACCAGATCGTAGGGTTAAAAGAGGTTGTTATTAAATTCAGTTTCGTTTAAGCTTTCAATGGTAATAACGGAACAGGTTTCAGCGTATTTGTAATACTAGCTTCTGCCAGCGGTTTTGCCCGCGGCCCCGTGGGATAATAGTAGCCTACCTATGTGTTATTCTAGACCGATGTTATCAACCTCTATTCCAAATTTCATTCTGAGCCCTACAGCCATTTTGAGGTGATTGAGTTAGAAACATACACAAAATTCGAATTTATAATACTTATATTAGTAAGATTTAACTAGTAAATTTTGTTCATTAATGGAAATGTGAGATGTAATAACAGATTCTGTATTATTACTGAAAACTAGATACTTTCATTCTATTCGATCCCGAAATCAAATCCTTACTATAATATTATAAATCGGAAAGTGAGTTTGTTTGTTCCGCTTTCACGCCGTAACTACTACTAAACTGATTGCTTTGAATTTTTGCAGACGTAAAGTTAGAAGTCCGGATTAAATAATAGGGTACTTTTTATCCCGAAAAATTTTGGTATTTCCGAGGGAAAACAAAAATATTAGTATAGATGGCGCTGTGTGTATTGGTATAGTCACAGGCTACTATTTATTTTGTAACGCGAGCGAAGCCGCGGATAAAAGCTAGTTCAAAATAATTGACATTTAGCTTACATAAGAAAAATAACTAATAACGTCAATTACCAAAACTGTCGATTAAACAATTTACAGATTATAGATAAAAACAGAGAGGTGGCAATATTAAAGGCCTCAATAAAAATATTAATTGATTTATTAAGTGTGGCAAACCAGTTATAGGTGCGGCCATTTTAAGGCGGGAAATGTTTGACAGTTGACACTTGACGCGCTAAAAAATAGGGTCGACGACCTGTGAATTGAAAACTTATATGAAGAATGTTTATTTAGTTGTTAGACAAATAATGTTGTTAAATGAAATAAAAACTAATTGCTTGAACATTAAAATTCGTGTTTGTTATGTGCTTGAGATGTGAGCATGCATGAAGAGATTCATTATATGGAAAAAGCTAAGTTTTTGTGGTGGAATCGGTGTATTGGGTGTCTATATCTGACCTATTTGTAGACTTGTTACTGTGAAGAGATGACGTTTTTCTAAACGTACCTGTGTATGCAATGAATATCTAAGATGATAATGATGAAAATGCTTTTTGCAGAAAATGGAGTTAAATTTTAAGATTTTTATTCAAATTATCGTTTGCTATTTGCCCAAGTACCAATAAACTTAATGGGCAACCGACTTATTGGCATTTATTGGAACCATTCCAATTTGGAACCGTTGATATTCTTTTGTTTTTATTATTTGAATTGTCTGTTTGTTGTGGACTCTTCTAATAAAGGCGAGAACAGACGAGCGACTCATTAGGAGCGATGAAATGCCTCCGTGCGTGTGTTGTTAGCCTGTCATCGGCCTTTATCATCCTCATTAGTGACGCTAAATTAGATACTTATTTTTAACATCATAAATCAAAGAACAATGTCGACGAACGAAAATGTTTTAAATGTTAAAAGTAATTCGTGTTATTAATTCATGAGATAGTGATGTCACGACCTATTATTGTCTGTGAAACAATGCATTAACATAATCTGATAGATTTAGATAGGCACGTGGCCGTATTTATGGGCTTATCAACACTAATTTTTAATTTCTGCATACAATGGAACGGTCGTATCAAGATGAGAGGATTGGAATCTGTGTCGTGTGCCGAGTGAGAGGCTTATAAGTAGTTGTAATGTTATCATTGTGAATGTATTACTGTTTATATAACTATACATAAGTGATACATGATAAACAAGAATTCTTTTTTTATTATTTTTATAGTTTGTTCCGTATTCGGCTTCACTTAATTTTGCGTCGTAGAAGCATTTACAAGCTAAAATTATATGTGTAAGCTTTAGCTACATTGGAGCTCGTAAAAATATACCCATGTAGACCAAATAAGTCATAAAGTGTCGCTGCGGTTTCGAAACCTACCAGCGGCAAATACCAATGTGACTTTTTTCTAGTTACAATTATGTACTTTTTAAGATACTTTAGGTAGGTACCACTGACAAATAGTAAAGAAAAACATCGTGAGGCTGGGCTTATAATTATAAGTTTGAAATCGCCAATCCGCAATGAGCAAGCGTGGTGATTAATGCTCAAACTCAAGCCTCTTCTCTGCTTGAGAAGAGGCTTTGCTCAGCAGTAGCCACTTAAAGGCTAGTTTTATTGAGAGTAACCTCCGCGACGAATGCAAAATACGTCCATAGAATAATGATTATTATGAACTTGTTGCATACGAATCAATGTCCCTTGCATCTATTTCATTATTTCGTATCAAAGCCTATATTGATAAAGGTGCTTGAGAATATAAAAAGCCCTTGTTGACAATGCCAATTTCTAAGTAAAAATATCCGGATTGGCATGAGTGATATTTATGTAAATGAAATTCGCAAATCCCTCTTGTGGGCTCAGTGAGGCGTTTAGCTTTCCACCCGTGTAGGTAGATATTGGTGGAGGTGACACCGTAGCACATCCTTATGGTTCTAAGACTGTGGAGTAAGACTGAGGCTTTCATATAAAATAAATAATTATTATGTCTACAAATAATTTGTTTGATAACAATAGGGAAGACAGAGGGAAGTTCACTTGACGATGTTATTGTTTTTAATTTCATTATCAAAGCATTTTGGTGTCGCACCTGGGTTTATAAGTTGTTATTTGCCCGGTTTTTATTTTTATTATTATTGAAAAAATTTAAAAGAACAGAAGTCCTCATATTTTAGGTGCCATTTTACATTGTCAGCTGCTATTAAGACATGACTTTACAACAACGCCTTATCGGTTTTTCAACTGTAAGTTACAGTGTAACCTCCACCCTTTATACAGGGTGTACCTGCCTAGATTCGGACTACAACGGAACCCTTATTCATGAGCTCTTCACACGTCGAGGTCATGAGCCCAAATTATGCTTCAACAGAGCCGTGCGTATAAAAATGTACGTCATTCAAAAAAGTGATTATGTAAAAACAATTACTTATTGTAGGTCGCGTTTCGTTGGTAGCGGTGGGAACGACGTGGCGTTGTGAGTTTAAATTAGGTTTTTTTAAAAGGGTAGAGCATGTATGTGTACCTAGTACCCATTTTAAGGGACTTTTGAATAAGTGTAGACTGTAGGTAGGTATGTTTGTCGTAGTAAATAGTTACAGATATAGAGGAACCACTTTTCTATAGTTTGTTTATATTTCCTTATGACATGGATGTGGGTATGCAATGCCTAATGGGGTACTTGCCAACTAGTCAAATTC